ACAGCTATTGTTACCAATTTATGTAATTATTTGCTATTTCAGTTTTAAAAATACAGCGTCTATGAAGTACAAGTGTGGTAGGTAGAACAGAGATGTGTTAAACTTCTGTACATCCAGCTTGATGCCCACAGCGTAACAGATACAGAGATGCCTTGTACTAGGCGTGTAGCTCCTCTACATTTTTAGATTAAATGTAAACAAATTTATTTCATTTTAAGAACTGCAATTAAAAACAATTACTATTTTATTTTTCAATAAATCATTTTTAAAAGAGGGGAAAACGCAGAGACTAGTCCTTTAATCTGGTTTATGCAGGAGTCCAACATTGTCAAACAACCTGTCTTTGTACCCTGACTAATATGCTCAGACTGCTGGAAAAGTGCCTAGACTTATCTCCTGGGCAAGAAAAGTTTTGTAGCATCAAAGGATTTTTAGATTTATTGTAAATTTGAGAATGTACTTAGGTCCAGTATTCTTGCAGGAGGCTTCAGAGCGCACCAGCATTGAATATGTGCTCATGGTTTATGAATATTAACTACTTAGCTGATGCTGTAAACTCATGAGCATGTAGGAGGGAAAACTCTTTTCTGTTAACCTCCTTTTGGAATGTAGAATTCACCAAGAAAAACAATTTCCTCTGAGTACTCTGGTTCTCCGCTCTGCTGTATTCTCCTTTTGGAGGAGCAGTCAGTAGCAGAGACTTGAGGTGGGGTAGGGAGGCAATGTCTAAAGAGGCTGGGTGAGCAACTGAGTGAAACTGGTAGCAGATACTTTGTCTCCAAAGTTTCCAAGCTGAAATCTGGAGGAGAAAACGAGTCGTCCTTCCACCAAGAGATGCCATGGAAGGGAGATGGGGAGGGTTCTGTTAGTACTGGGTGCTGCTCCTAAAAGAACTGAGAAAGGAATCTTCAGGTAGCTTGATGGAACTCTCCTTGCATCTGAAAACCAGCCTTGGGAGAGAGTGTCCCCAGAGGGACTCATATGAGCCACTCATTAATTGAATTAGTGGTATTTAACGTCCAACAATGTGAATTCGTAGTCAGGTGACGAAACCGAGCAATTGCACAGAATTGTTGGGGCTGGAAAAGACCTCCGAGATCATCAAGTCCAGCCTGTGACTCAACATAAGTTGAGAATAAAATTTTGGGTTAACTTGTTTTAAACTATTTTGTGTTTAAGATACAATGTTCACTTACATAAACCAAAGTGCTTTTATTTTATTTTAAGAATGCAAAGCGTTGCTATTATTGTTTTTTCCTTCACAGGGCAAGGTCCATCATCATAACCAGAATGACCATTTCCCACCCGATGGAATTGGTAAGTGTCTCTGTTGTTCCTGAAGGGATTTCTGTGAGCTCCTGCTGATTTGGCTTCGGTGAGGCTGATGGTGATGTGACACAAATGGAGCATCTGGTCTCTCCTCTATTTGAAAGCCATTTACTTCTTGTGTGCATTTGGGAAGCAGATTCTATAGACTGTTCGGTGGACACGAGGTGTTTCTGAGGCTGGCCTTGTACAGGTGGCGTGCCCACTGACTTTAGAGCCTTAACGCGGCATAGTTGATGGCCTCTTAAAAGTGGCCGTGTTAGAAATTCGTAATGTGATTTAATGTGCCAGTATGTTTGCCCAAAAAGAGTTAAGACATCCTTCTGCATACCCTGTTTTATGATGTGCTTTGAACTTAAATTGTGCTGTCATATATCCAGATATTACTGATCGTGCTGTTGCAAGGTGGCATGCCACGGCTTGATAATTTTGTTATTAATTTGAAAAAGCATTAATTTAAAGCTTGTCTTCCTTGCCAAAAAAGGAGGATGATTTTAGTTTTTTGATGAAGTGTTTAACAGCTACTCTGACTGTCAGCATATTTAATGTGTTTGGGACATTCTTTCTTTAATGCAGTAACCAGCTACTTGTTTCTCTGTATCTCAGCTCATATTTTCTGCCTCTTCAGATTTCTGAAATGTGAATTGCACACGTGCTTTATAAAGATAGGTGCTATTAGGAGGTAAAAAGAAATAAAAGGATAGTCTTCTTCATATTTGTTTTATGTATCTATCTTATTTTTTTATGTATATACATATATGTATTTTTTTTTTTTCTTTTCAGTTCAGCCCAACCCTTCTGTTCTAATTGGAAATCCTATCCGAGCATATACTCCTCCTCCTCCTCCTCCTCTGGGACCTCACCCCAATCTGGGGAAATCTCCAAGTCCTGTTCAAAGGATAGATCCACACACTGGGACAAGTATTCTATACGTACCTGCCGTCTATGGAGGAAACATGGTCATGTCTGTGCCTTTGCCTGTAAGAATTCATTTTCTGCTTTTCTTCCCCCCATGTTATTGTATATACAAAAAAGAATGGCAAAATCAGTTAGTGACTATTTTGAAAGCTTTTTCAGCACTTTACTTCAACTGTGTGGGCTCAGCTGGCTTTAGGAGTGACTGTGCAAAGGACCACCAGAAAATGAGGACTTAAAAGCGTTGCTCCTGCAAGTAACTAAAAGCATTTTTGTGTTCATGTCATCTGGTGTATTTGCTCAGCTCTAAGTTTAGGCACAGCAGTGGAATCTGTCTCACCTGACTTGAGATACCTGCATCTGAATTAATTGCCTAGTTTAGTTCCTAATCATTGGAGAGACATAGGCGTTTCAGACAGAGCTTGTTTCTCTTTATCGACTTCATACAGTTTAAATTACCGGCTTCGGATGTCTGTGGTGCAAGGTGTCTGAAGTGAAGTGATAAGAAAAATAAGCATAATGGGATGTTTTCCCCTCCCAGAACCTCCTAGTGAACCAGTTTTCTCTCCAATCCATTTCCTTAATGGCATTTGAGAACATAATGAAGATCCCTAATCAGGTCTTTTAGGCTACGTTTATGTATGGAATTTTGCATTACAAACAAAGCTATCCCACCAAAATTTACACAAATTAAAGAAGCAGTGTCTCCTTTATTTCTAACCTTCACAGTCACGTATTCGAGGAGGAAAATAGGGAGAAAAGAACAAAGGCTGCAGAAGCCATGTTGTGGAGTAACGTGTCTTGTACACGGCTCCAGAAGCCGGTGGGACGTGTTCAGGGCTCTCCTGATTGGAGCTAAAAACACCAACTCTGTTCAGCTCAGTCTCTCCTGAGAGGCTGCGCTCGCTGCAGGTCAGAGCGCGTCTGGGCAGGCAGCGCCCGCTGCTAGGAGCGGTAACACCCCGTGTTTGCAGTCACTGCCAGGGACTGGGGTGCCCCGAGCTCGCTGATACTCGCTCCTGTGGGGACCAAGGTCGCTGCTGGATCTTGGGAACACGCTGGCGATGCCGGGAGGACCAGGACAGGTGACCAACAAGAGTATTCCATTACACACGTGCCATTCAGTACAAAGCTGGCGGATCACGGGGGCTGAGCTCTCTCCGTCAGTGGTCGGCATCGGAGGAGGACTCTGTCCGTTCCTCTCCCTTTGACCCCGACTTCCCGAATCCAGCTCCTGTGCCTGGTTCCCCTGGGGCTTCCCCGGTGACGCCCACTCTGCACCAGCAGCGGGCATGGCTATCAGGGGGCGAGTCGCGTTCAGTACCAGTTCTGTATATATTTGGGTATAGTTTATTATTTATATTATTGTTTTTAAGAGTTCCCTGTTGTAAGTTGCAGGATGCTGTGTAGGGGATGTGCTGTAGGAACTCCAGTTTCAGTTGTCTGTCTTAGATCACTTGGGAGCTGTGGATTGGTTTTCTTTGCTAGGCCAAGGAATTTTCCTTTTTCCTCACTTGCTAGAATTCTTCATTTGATGGGTAAATTTAAATGCAACGAGAAGGCCAGCAGCTGTGTCTTTGTCATGCTTGCTCACATTGTATTAATATCAAACCAAGATAATTTAAAAAGTTCTGCCTTATTGTTCCAAGGTTAATATGTTTTTATGTATTTCCAATCAAAAGAAATGTATTATAAATAAGAATTTTGGACTCACCTTCCCTGAAGATGGATTTTTAAATAATTAAGTGGGAAACCTGAGGTACTAATGAGACAGCTGCTTTTGAAAAGAAGCTTGGTGGAGATGATTTGAGATTGTACAGATGCAATAATAGCCTAGAGCTTAGGTTCAAAGTGCACATTTCAAGGGCAAATACTAATTTAAAAAACAGAATTACATGAAAGTTGTTACACTTAAAACAAGTAGGGGCTGAAGTAAAATGTGGTTATGTTCATGTGAGATAAAATTACCTCTTTGCTTTGTTTAAGGTGGTTTCCATATCCAGGGTAAAAACGTGAGGAGGTTGTCTGCTCTCGTCAGTGAAGGATGCATTGTCAGCCTCTGTGTTGACCACTTTCCCTGCTCTCTCCTCTTATTTGTACATTTTCCTCCTTTTACTAAATTCCCTATAGGGCAAGACTGAACTAATTTCATCCAGAGCTGTCTTCCTTTGCATTCCTTTTTGGAATAAAATTTAAAATGTTGTAAAAATTGTAGGCTTTTTTGCATGCTTTCAAGAGGCTTCAGATATTTAGGACCACGATGTGCAATACTTGTGCCGTATAGAGCGGGCACTTTGAAGTGACCCTGCTGTTCTTAACGTATCGATAGTTTCTTGCTTCTCCCAGCAGTCCTGTTAACGTCACTGAGTGTCTCGGGGGTGCAGAGGTGGGGTGTGCCCGCTTGTTCTGTGTGACAAGATCACAACACTGGGTGCTAAAAGGACCGTAATGAATTCCTCGGGTTAGAAGCTGGTGTAATATCAGTGTGCTTGTTACTTCACTCCCTTTAACGTACCTTGACAGATGCATCTTTTTTTTTTTCTTTTTTTCTTTTAATAATATAGGTACCATGGACAGGGTATCAGGGTAGGTTTGCAGTTGACCCTCGAATCATTACTCACCAAGCAGCTATGGCATATAATATGAACCTGTTACAGGCACATGGGCGTGGGTCTCCTATCCCTTACGGCCTGGGACATCATTCCCCGGTTAGCATAGGACAACAGCAGCAGCTTCAGCATCAAGACAAGGAGCAACATGAACAAAGTCGAAACGGTTAGTGCTTGAAATGACATTGCAAATGAAGTTTGCTTTTGGAGGAAGTTTGTGCGTTAACCAAGGTGTCCTGGAAAAGATATTTCTTCTCTCT